AGACAACGACATGGAAATAGGAGAAGAAAATATCATTGACTTAAAAAATAATAATGCTCAATTAGAAAATGAATTAAATAATTCCAACTTCGATAATGAAAGTTTAAATACCCAACATTCTCAAGAAAGCAGTAATGAACAAATATTTATTGTTGATGAATCAAAACCGATCAACATAGAAACCGCATACCCTTGGAGTAATGACTTAGAAGAATCTTTAATTGAAATATTAAAACCAAACAAAATTTATGGAGTCTATTGTGAACCTAACGTAGAAACGGTTAGAAGTGATTACGAAGGAATATTCCTAAAGATATCTTCAATAATTATGGAGAAATTCCCTAATGTCAAATTTAAAAGGTATAAAACCAAAGTGTTAAATGTAGAAACGAAAGAAGAACAAACAGAATTGATAAATAATTATCATACAGGTAAATCATTCCATAGAGGAGTTTTAGAAACTTTCGAAAAAATGAAAAGGACTTATTATTTTCCTAGGATGAAAGAAGAAATTAACCAGTTTATAAATTTATGTAATATCTGCAGAAAGACTAAATATGATAGGAAACCTATCAAATTTAAATTTCAAGTAACAGCAACACCTCTGAGACCATTCGAGGAGTTGATGATAGATACTCTACACTTCGAGCAGAAGTATATTGTAACTATTATAGATACTTTTTAAAAAAAAATGTATGCTGAACTCACCACAGCATGTAATGCTATTAACATATTTAAAATAATTACAAAATATTTAAGTTTATTCCCAAATCCAATAAGAATAAAAATGGACAATGGAAAAGAATATAAAAACAACTTAGTTCAAACCTTATTAGAAAGCTTAGGAATCGAAGCTTATTATACAACTCCTAATCATCCTAATTCTCTTGGGCTCATGAACAGAGCTCATTCTACATTGATAGAAATCATTAGAACTTACAAAAATAATGATGAAAAACGTGATTTAAACACAAATTTAAATTTAGCCCTAATCACTTATAATAATTCTTTAAATCAAAAACTAAAATTATCGCCAAATGAAATCACCTTTGGTGCTATTAAAGACCCTGAAAAGAAATTATCAATCATTCACGAAGACTTAATCAATCAATATAATACAGAATTAAATTTAGTTCATGAGCAAATAAAGAATAAAATTGAAAAAGAAAAAGAAGTAAGAACTGAATCCTTAAATAAGGATAGAGAAAATGAAGTGATTGAAGATGAACCTTATATAAAGGTTAGAACTAGAAATAAACATGAAAATCCATTTAAACAGGTGTATAAATTTAAGAATAAAAATAAAAACCTTAAGTTGCATGCAGATAATATCCAAAGAAAACGAAAAACTAAAAGAAAATATCATATTCCAGATGATGAAGATGATATGGATATTGATTCTGATGATTCAGACATCGCGACAATATGAAATAATCAATCCAGAATATTCTTCAGGACTGGTTACGTTTAAATTATCTGATTCCAAGGTAATTCAAAAATACAAAACAATCATACATTATTTAAATTTTTCTAATTTCATAAATGAAATATCCGTATTAGAAAGAGATTTAAGTAATTTTAAGCAACATAGCCAATATGATTTAATTTCCAAACAATTAATATTTTTATAAGATAAAGTTGATTATATTATTGATGCTCCACGTAATAGAAGAAAAAGAGGCCTGATAAACGGCATAGGAAGTGCAATCAACTGGCTTACTGGAAACCTAGACTCTGATGACAAGGCGCATTATGATAAGGTCATTACTACTCTAGAAGAAAACAACTATCGTATGGAACACAATATAGCTCAAGAAATTCAAATTAATAAAGATTTAGTAAAAACGTTTCAAAAAGACATTAGATTAATTAATACTAATAGTAATAAATTAGCCAATTTAATAAATACTGTCGACAAGACCACATTAACAAACCACTTAAATGAATTATACGACATTCTAAATTATATCACTATTGTAATCATGGACATTGAAAATTCATTAGAAATGTGTAAACTTGGAATAACACATTCCAGTATTTTAAAAAATATTGATATAAATAATAATTCAGAATTTGTTAGCTCTGATCTTGAGACATTATGGCTCACAAGTAAAATATCTTGTATGATTAAAAATAATGTTATCCATTATATGATACAGTTACCTAAAGCTAGAACTTTTAGTACTTTGTATTTATTATCTGTTCCAGTCAGAAAGAATAATCATATTATAACAACAATTGTAAATAACCAAACGGTATTATATAATAACGCAGAAGTGTATAAAGGAGAGTGTAATTTTATAAAAACTAATTATTATTGTAATAAAATTTATAAAATTAATGATACATGTATAAATAATTCTATTCATAATAATTTAAGTAATTGTTTAACCACAACTATTAGCAATTTAGAACCTTATATATCTTATGTAGAAACCATTGATGTTTTTGTTAGTTTTAAGATTAAACATATTACTATACAAAATAATTCATCCTATCCAGTAATTTTACCAGAAACAGCTATTATTAAATTAAGTGATAAGGAAGAAATTGTTAACCATACTAGAGATAATTATGTATTTACGGAGGTATTGTCTTCATTTCATGTAATTTCTGATTATAAACATTTGAATTTAACTTTTAATCAACTAAACATACCTACTTTCAGCAATGAAATGTTTGAAAGTCTTAATACTAATTATGAAAATGATTTTAACATTAATTATTATTTACTAGTATTAACTATTATTGTTTTATATCTGTTATTTTTTAACTTTTATAATTGTTATACAATGTTTAAACCCTCAAGTATTCTTAGCCAACAAAGGCAAGTAGATAGTACATCAAGTCCGAAGGAAGAACTTGTACTCCAGCCATCTACATCTGCCAACACTATTCATCCACTTCTTCTCTCACGGAGCTCGAGAACTTCAGAAGGGAGGACTTAAGGTAGCCAAATAATGGTAAATCCCTAGAGTCAGCATATTTCTCCTGACTCTATATAAATACCCCTCCCTTACCCGCTTAGCAAGTAGTCAGACATTGTCTCTCATAGTAGATAGTTAGATACCATAGTTAGTGTAGTTGTTGTAACATATATATTTTGTTCATTGTATACTTTTTGCCAAATAAACTTTTTTTTTAAGTCCGAGTGAGTATCGAAGATTTAATTGACCCTTATATTGAAGAAATTAAAAAAAACTCAAATAAGCTGCAATGCAGTGGCGTAATCCAATAATGGGAATAATTTTCAAACATTGTGCCCTTGAAAACATATAAAGCGACTATTACATCGAAGAAATCTAAAAAATAAACTCGAATAAGACGCAACGCCTTAATCTTAAAATGGAAATCATTTCCAAAAACTGCGACTACGAAAATGATCTGATAGAAATCAATGAGGTATAGAAAAAAAAATTAATATATTTATATTATATTCTAAAACATTTTTGTATTGGGTTGGCAAGTAAGTGCTTTCGGTTTTCTGTTTATTTTTATGTCACTATGATACACTTCTTATCTGATGAATTAATCCCTAAGGTGGATTGTTTATCCTGTTTGTAATATGTCAACAACTATATCTGTTAACTCTTGTTGAAACTAGCTTAATATTGTGTTTGCTATTGCACTGTGAATATGGAAGAAAATATCATTCATTATCAGCATATTTTGTTGTATTATTTTAAAAAAGGTAAGAGTGCTGCAGAAGCTTATAGAAAAATTGCAGTGTTTATGGGGATGATGTTTTAACCGAACGCACTTGTCAAAATTGGTTTGCCAAATTTCATTCAGGAAATTTTGACATCAATGATGCTCAACAGTCTGGTCCCCCACATGAAATTGAAATGAGCAATGTTACGGCCATTGTTGATTAAAATCCCACCCAATAAGTGCAAGAGATTACTATGGCCCTAAATGTGTAGCACACAAGCGTAGAAAACCATTTGTACAAGTTTGGCTATGTTTCCAGGCTTAATGTTTGGGTCCCTCACTCTCTAACCGAAGTCAACTTGGCAAAATGCATTTCTGTTTGTGATTCACTACAGAAATGTTAACAAAACGACCCAGTTTTGAAAAGGTTGGTAACAGGAGATGAAAACTGGATATTTTACAATAATGTAGTCTGTAGAAAATCTTGGAGTCATACTAGTGAAACTCCTAAAAGAATGTCAAAAACCAGATTGAATCCAAAGAAGGTAATTATTTCCATATGGTGGGGGTTCAAGGGTGTCATTTTCTATGAGCTATTGCCATCAGGACAAAAAATTGATTCAACTCTATACTGCTCACAATTAACAAAATTGGATCAATCAATTAAAAATAAATGCCCAGAACTGGCAAATCGGAAGAGTGTTGTGTTCCACCAAGCCAACGCTAGGCCCCACACCTCATTGGTCACTCGCAATAAATTATTGAGCCTTGGATGGGACCTTTTGCCCCACTCTCCTTATCCACCAGACCTAGTTCCAAGTGTCTACCAATTATTCCGATCTCTGCTGAACTCCATGAATGGAAAGAAATCCAAAAGTAAGAGGACATCAAAAACCACTTGGAGTTTTTTAACAATAAACTCCAGACATTCTATGAACATGACATTATGCAGTTAGTGGAAAGATGGGAAAAATTCATATTAAATAATGGTCAATATATTGTAGATTAAAATAAATTTTATGTCTATAATACATTGAGATTAATTTCACCCTGAAAAACCAAAAATACTTATTTGCCAATCCAATATCTTGTTTATGTAGCACTGAAAAGACCTGCAAAGTGGATTGAAATAGAGTAAATAATTAAGGACTATTTTTTAAATTTATTTTGGCCACCCGCTTATATTTATCTTGATGTTAATTTCTAAACACCACTTAAAAAACAAATAATAATAATTATTAATTATTTATATACTTAAAATTAATGTCCACATTTAAAATCAATTTTTAAAAACTTTAAACACAATATAAAATATTAGTATTTTTTTACTTTGAAAGAATATAACTTACAAATACATTTGAGAAAAATGAGCCATATAATTCATATAAGCCTGTTGTAACAAAAGATTCTGCTGTGCTATAGTCTGAGGATTATTATTAATGTGAGAAAATACCATTGAAGTGGTATTTCCAACATGAGTATTTTCTGCACTAAAGCTGTCACCTAAAAATATAAAAATAATTTACACTAAACATATATTAATCAATTTTAACAATAGAAATATTAATCTTATCACTATGGCTACATAATCATAATTAATTAGTAATATTTTTAAGGAATTCCCTGGCAGAAAAATCATCTTATAAATAACAAATACTCTTACTAGCAGACAGAAGGGAGCCAATGTGGCTCTTATTCTGAGAACATTGATTCTATTTATAATAGCTTAGTTCTCTGCTTAATCTTAGGCTAATTCTTTCCAGTTTGGTGTGTATAGCTTTGTATCATCTTTGTTGATTCTATCTATAGATCTGGTTCTTGGACTCCCACATAATTCAATTGTGTAGATTCCTGATGAACTGGTTTGAGCTACATTTTTTGCCCATCTCAACTTCCTTGCTTTTAGAGCATGAGATATCAATTGACCAGTTCCTTTAAGCAGTTCTTTATTGGTCCTTTTCTTCCATGCGTCAGTACTCTGATCCCAGATTGCTCCGGTTATTGTGCAGAGGATTTTCCTCTCAAAACATTCAATACTTATTTCTAGGCTGCTAATTAATGACCAGATCTTGTAGCCATAGATCAGAAGCGACTTTATCATTATTTTACATCCTTAATTTGAGATTTATAGAGTTTTTTTTGAGATTTTAATGAAGAAAAGAAAGCTCTGTTTCCGCTTGTTATATGGTGGTCTCTCTCTAACTGTTGGTCATTTTTTGAGGTTAATGTGGAACTGAAGTATTTGAATCTTGAAAACATAATAACAACTATTATCAAAGGAACATACATGTCCATGACATGATTAATTTTCAATAGAATTTTTCATTAATCATACAAAGCCAAAGTTGCTTAAAATAATGTTCTTAAAATAATTGAGAACCTGGTAAGTAGATTGAGATAGTGTTAAACAAGTAAAGATGAACTATAAAATACATTTTTTTTTAGGAATCAACTGAGTACAATTAATTCATATATGTAAAAAATTATATGATACATAAAATTTGGTTACCTCTCCAGTCTGTGTTATTTTGGTGAAGTAAATTACGGAACCCACTTTGAGAGTTGTGTTTAGCATTTTGACTTGTCATTTTCTTTGAATCTCTCAATGAACAAACTAAATGGATAGTATTGTTTTCTAAACCATCATATGAACGAAGAACATCTGATAAAACAGCCTCATCAGATAACAATTGCCCAGAATAAATAAGTTTTTGACCATCTGGATGCTAAGAAAAAGCAATTCTTATCAATATAGCAACAAGTTTACATGGAAATGAAATAATAAATGAGTACGGAAATATACATTTATTAAGTAAATAAAAAGTTTAGTGAACTAGGTGGTTTGATATTGATAAAACCAACAGTTTGTACATTACTTAAACCAACCTCCACTGAACTTCTTCAAAACTCAAATATTTAAAATCAGACCAACTACATTCCTATCAAACCCCTTAGAAATTTTTTTTTTTGTCAACTCCTTCCTTGTCTTTTGGGCATACAGGGATTTTCCTGGGCCAGGAGAGATGGTGGGGAATTCATGACAGAGTTAATACCTCTCCCCCCCCCCACGCACAGGGTGGTGAACTCATATATGAGAATTATTTTTTATATCTTGTAAACTTTGGTTGATCATCTGGTTGCTGGGCATTGCGTGTTTTGAGGCTACTGCATACGGTAGTGTTCCAGATTCTATCTCTTTGGATATTTCCTTCAACTTTACAAAGGTAGCGAATCTTCATGGATTAGATTCGAATTTTGTGTTTAAAGGTGAGGATCCACTATTTAGAAGAATACGAAAGGATTGGGAGAAACATTGATTTATAGACGGCCATTTTTGTCTTCTTGGAGACCTCTATTTTACACAGAAAACCCGTCTGAAACAAATCAGAATACTCTACCAGCTGTTCCCAATTCTCTGAGTCACTTCCTCATCGATTTAACCGCTTTTGTAGAGATGAACACCTAGATATTGAAAATTATGCACATGTTCTGTCTCTTTCCATTTGCTCTTAGTATTCTAATTATTCTCCAATTGTTGTCTCATCCGGGTTTTGTGTCCTATCCATGTGCATTTGTTCTTTCCAGGTTGATTTTCATATTTATTGCAGTTATTTCTTCTTGGAGGATGTTTATTTTGTGTTGGAGGTCACAGTAGTCGGCAGCTAGCAAGACAAGGTCATAAAAAATGCTAATACAGAGAATCTTGTGGGTTGTAGATTCCTGTGTCCTAACTGGAACTGGCTCATTTTTTCTTTAGCTTTCCTTAGTGCCAGGTCTAATATAATTAATAGCAGACTTAAACTTCAGCTACAGTGAATACCTAATGTCATCTCAAATTCTTGTGGTAAGTGGTTCATGGTCCTAACTACATTTCTGGTCTTGTTATAGAGAATCATCACAGCCAAGGTTGTCGTATGGTTAATCCTTTTCTCAAAAATTACAAGCTATATATCTTCCTTTCTCACTCTGTTGAAAGCCTTTTGTAGATCCATAGAGCAAACAGAAAGCTCTTTATTTTTCTCCACAATCTTCTCCATTATTTTTTTCATGGTGAAGAGATCTGTGCTTCACTGACCTCTTAAACCAAACTGTTCTTCTCCGAGCTGATTATTGACTACTCTTCTCACTTTTGCCTGAAGTATTCTGAAATAAATGTTGCTGGGCACACTGAGCAGTGGTATTCTAGTGATTGTCACACTCTCAATTGTCTGTCTTCTTATGTATTTACCAGTCCTTAGGAATTCTCTCATCTTTCCAAATTCAATTCAGAAAATGGATGAACATCTCTTGGCCTTTGCTTACCAATGTTCTTAATTGCTTGGGGAGTGACTTCATCAAGTTCTAGTCATTCTCAATCCAAGAATCCTCTACATTCATCTGGGTTTTGTACATTTCTACATCTCTTCCCTCCAGCAGATCTTTATTTGACATTTATCTTTTATTCACATCATGCCTTCTTTCTTTTTCTTGTTTTCAAATTCTTAACATCTCCTTTTCTTTTTCTATATTTTTACTTCACTGTGTAAAAAATCAGATGTGTTTCTATTGATATAATCTCATTACATCTCATTTCTCAGCCTTGATGAAGGCCTGCAACTTAGTCGATCCGTTGATTATTGAACAGAAAAGGCGTTATCCTGCAAGAACCCCTAATCACAGTATGCACCTTCTTTCCTTCCAGGATATCTAGAACCATGATTCGACCATACACAAATTTCCGTTACGGAAACCAGGTCATTATGATACAAGAATCCTTGGTCTGTAGGTCTGTGTAGCGTGTGGGAGAGTGAGTGTGCTGTAATTAGTGTGTCGAGGTAAGTAATTAGTAGAGTGATCAGAAGGCTTCGACAGAGTGTGTTCAAATTAAGATACAATGACTTAGTGGATGAAGGAAGACAGGATGACCTCAAAAATGTCAGGCGGATGAGCACCAAAATCACTCTTGGTCTGCAGGCAAAGGAATGAACTTTATTATACCGCAGAACAAAAATCACAAACGGAGGGGTGAGCCTCCAGACTTAGTGGGAGGTTGAAATACCAATGGAGGGATGATCCTCTGGACATAGTATATACGAGTACAAGCAGATAGATGAGCATCCAGACCTTGTATGGAGAGAGAAAAGAAGAATAGGTTAAAGGAGCATAATGAAATGAGGAGCATAATTGGTCAAAAGGAGGATGTTGCTCTAGATGATAAATTTTAGAACATAAATTAGAAAATTGACGATGGAGCACATTATTATTATTATTAAAATTAAGGTAATTACAAATTTATTGTAACAAACATAATACAAATATGTAATGTAACAAGCACAATAATGTAAATTAAAAATTTTTTAGCCTTGCATCCACAAGAGTATTGGAATTGCAGTTCTGAAGATGGGAATAAAGGTCCCGAAATGTAAACTAGCCTGTTAACATGTAACGTTAAAAATATACTCGAATTGTTAACAACTGGAAGTTATTATTGCCAAGCAACTAAATTAAATTGACAACTTTCCAAGAAAAAAAGAAAAAAGAAGTAATACTTAAAAATAATGAACGATTAAATAAAATTAATCAATAAAAATTGAAATTGGATAAAAAATAAATAAACAAGAATAACAGAAGATGTAATAAAGAAGTTATGTTCTACTTATAAAATACATCGATATATATTTCCCGTCTGATATTCATATTTCGCCTACTATTTGAGGGCGCCAGAGTCATACAAATTAATTTTTTTTGTTGTAAAAATCGTATATTTTCGGGCTAATATTCGTATTTCGTCTATTCATTCTTTTTTTTTTTTTTATATCTTATCTAATAGATCTAATGCTTTCGTTACGTATTTGGTGAAGTCAAGCTGTTTTCAGATAAGTTTCTAGGAATTTTCAGGGAAGAACACATAGTAATTTGCTGGAATTAAGTGACGTCGGTAAACTTACGTTAATCCTTGCTTTTCTTGACCTGCTTTACTGAACTTTGAATTTATTCTGAATAAAAGGCCTGCTTTGCTGAACGTTGAATTTATTTTGAATAAAATTGGGTTTTGCCTTCAGCAGTTTAAATTTAATTTTTATTTTTATTTCAACAAGTTTGAGGATGGCGCCGACTAAGAGTAATGAGGAACTTACAGCTATAAATGATAGAAAGGAAAGGATGTTTCTTAGAATTCAAATCACTTTCGATATGATTAAGGGTCTCCCTGCTAGAAAGGAAATTTTTATGATTAGGGCTTCAGAAATTAAGGCCCAACTGGAGGAATTTGAAGCGGTGTTGAACAAGATTTTGGCTGAATGAATCGTTAGAGGAGGAACATAGGATAGAAATAAATGCACCTACTTTAGCAGCAAGGGAACTTTATTATGAGATAAAAGTTGCGTACGAGAAATTAATTGAAGCCGAGCACATAGTTTCCGTTTCTCAACCCATGCCTGAACCAGTAGCGTATTCTAAATTACCAGATTTACGAATTCCTCAATTTCCTGGACAGTACGAACAATTTCCTTCATTTAAATCATTATTTGAAGCCTTAATTCATCATCTAAATTAAACAGATATAGTACAATTTTCATATCTTAAGTCACTTTTAGTTCATCCTGTTTCACAGGCCATTTCTTCAATTGAGTTTAATGCAGAAAATTACAGCTTATACTATGATAAATTGGTGAAGCGTTATAGTAATAAAAGGATCATTGGGGCTCACCATATTAACAAGATTAAACGATTTAAACCATTTTCTGTTGATAATTCTTCCAACTTTAGAAGCTTTCTGGAAAATTACAAGTTTTTAATTTGAAGATAATTACAATGCCTTAAAAAATATTAAACTAAATAACCTCGCCGATTTTGTTTTGCTGCATCTTGGACTGAACGTTGTTGTAGACCCTAATACAAGAAAAATGTTTGAGAATAGTCCAGAGTTGAGTGAGAAGAGACAGTTCCTAACTTTGAAAAGTTTTGTAAAATTGTTAGGTCACAACTTAGAGTCACAGAAATGTGTTCCGAGCCTTCTACATCCAAAACCACCCAGCCTAAAGTTTAGCAAAAAACATTTTTAACCAGCAATCACAAAAGACCGGATAAGAAGAAATTTAAGTTAGAACGCCAAGTCTGTAAATTGAACTATAAAATTATAAATTGCCCTCAGTTTCCAGATGACGATATTAATGGTCGCTATGACCTGTTAAAGAAGTCTGATTTATGCATTTCTTGTATAGGACCTCATCGCTTGCCAAATTGCCAAAGTAAAGTCTGCTGCCAAGTTAGTGGCAAAAAGAGTAACCATATGGTATTACATAAGGCTGCAAACACTGAGCCCTCTCAGTCTCAGGTAACAAACAATTCTCGTGCAGTTTCGTGCCACGCTACCACCAACTCACAGGTACTTCTGGGTACTGCCTTAGGTAGAATTTGTTCAAGTTCAGGTCAGTGGTGTTTATGCAGAATGGTGATAGATCCAGGTTCACAAATTAATTTAATTACCACTGATATAATGAAAAATTTGCTTCATTCCCCGGTTAGTCCTCTGGTGGTGTCTGGAGTAGGTAATGGAGTAAGCTCCAGACTGATATTGTGGAACTTATAGATCATTTTAGATGCTTTCCTGTGTCCTTAACATGTGACATAAAAATGATGTTTAGGTGTATCCGCATTGCCGAAACTAATCAGAACCTATTACGTTTTTTTTGGAGAAGTGAATCTTCATAGCCGATCCAGGAGTATGAGTTGGTTTCCTTGCAAT